GAGATAACAGTATGCCATTTGGGCAATTTTGGTCAGTCTCAGAGATGACTGTGATTTTTCCTTTGTTTGTAAAGTCAGCATAGCGAGCCATCTTATCAATGAGTCCCCATGTGGGCCCTATCACTTATATGTGAAATCTAAAAATGGGTGTAAGTCAACTTATTTACAAAATAGAAGTAGAGTCTTGAATGCAGAAGACAAATTAATGGATACCAGTGGATAAGAAGGGAAGAATAAATTGGGAGATCGGGATTGACATAAACCCACTATTATTTATAAAATTGATAACAAATAAGGGCTTACTGTATATCACAGGAAACTCGTATCTATACTGCAAAAGAATCTAAAACAAAAAAAAAGAGTGCATATATGTATATGCATAACTGATTTAATTTGTTGTACACCTAAAACTAACACAGCATTGTAAATCAACTGTACTCCAAAAAAATTTTTAAAGAATGAAAATTCAGGAAACCATGCCCCAATGTCACAGAGGAAACAAAGAGACCAAGAAACAGGCCAGGCAGAAATTTGACTGAAACTCTAGACACTTTGTAAGGCTAACCAGCAGCATATTGCAGAACTAAGCTACAAGAACAATCTCCCAGCCTGACGATGAGTTCAGAGGCAACTAGAGGAAGAGGCCTTGGAGGAGCCCCAGCAAGTCTGTGGGAAAAACAGACTGAAGGGACTCCAGGTTGCAGCCCTGAAGGAGAAATTGCATGTCTTTTGAATGCCATAAATAAAAGCAATCCCACCAAGTAGTTCAGGCAAATTCCTCAGTCTGGGAGAGGGTAGGGGTGCGTATACCAGCCCTAACCCACCCTAGGCAATGTGCATACTGGGCAGAGATAAGCCCAGGAATGGGCCTGGCTCCCTCACAGTCCCCCTGCAGGAAACAGGTAACTTCTGGAGACAGCAACAGAGAGGAGCTGATTGTGAAGAAACCAGGGGAGGGGCTGCCTCTTCCGTGAGAACATATGGAATGGCCAACAAGGCAGAGAGCATGAGGAACCAAGAAAGATCCCTGAAAACACAGTGACAAAGGCAACATTCATGCTGAGGAAAAGGAGGGGTGCAGACCTTGAGAAATTCATGTTGTGACCTGACATTCACTAGCACCTACTTAGGTGAAGGCGATGGCACTCCACTCCAGTACTGTTGCCTGGAGAATCCCATGGATGGAGGAGCCTGGTAGGCTCCAGTCCGTGGGGTTGCTAAGAGTTGGACACAACTGAGTGATTTCACTTTCACTTTTCACTTTCACGCATTGGAGAAGGAAATGGCAACCCACTCCACTGTTCTTGCCTGGAGAATCCCGGGGATGGGGGAGTCTGGTGGGCTGATGTCTGTGGGGTCGTACAGAGTAAGACACGACTGAAATGACTTAGCAGCAGCACCTACTTGCAATGTCCATCATAATCTTCACATTTGTTGTAAACCTCGGTTTATATTATCCATGATTGGTCTTCACTTTTATATTGAAATCAATAAGATAATTGAGGCTGCTGGTTAACTTGCTCATTTGAATTTACATTTCTTGCTCCAGTCAATCAGTTGGTCCAGTCAGTCAGTCAATTCAGTCACTCAGTCATGTCTGACTCTTTTCAACCCCATGGACTGCAGCACACCAGGCTTCCCTGTCCATCACCAACACCCACAGCTTGTTCAAACCCATGTCCTTTAAGTCGGTGATTCCATGCAACCATCTCACCCTCTGTCCTCCCCTTCTTCTCCTGCCTTCAGTCTTTCCCAGCATCAGGGTCTTTTCCAAGGAGTCAGTTCTTCACAACAGGTGGCCAAAATATTGGAGATTCAGCTTCAGCATCAGTCCCTCCAATGAATATTCAGGACTGATTTCCTTTAAGATAAACTGGTTGGATCTCCTTGCAGTCCAAGGGACTCTCAAGAGTCTTCTCCAACACCACAGTTCAAAAGCATCAATTCTTCAGCACTCAGCTTTCTTTATGGCCCAACTCTCACATCCATACATGACCACTGGAAAAACCATAGCTTTGATTAGATGGACTTTTGTTGGCAAAGCAATGTCTCTGATTTTTAACATGCCATCTAGGTTGGTCATAACTTTTCTCCCAAGGAGCAAGTGTCTTTTAATTTCATGGCTGCAGTCACCATCCGCAGTGATTTTGGAGTCCCCCAAAATAAACTTTCTCACTGTTTCCCCATCTATTTGTCAGAAGTGATGGGACTGGATGCCATGATCTTAGTTTTCTGTATGTTGAGCTTTAAGCCAACTTTTTCACTCTCCTCTTTCACTTTCGTAAGAGGCTCTTTAGTTCTTCTTCACTTTCTGCCATAAGAGTGGTGTTATCTGCATATCTGAGGTTATTGATATTTCTCCCAGCAATCTTGACTCCAGCTTGTGCTTCAATCAGCCCAGCGTTTCTCATGATGTAATCTGCATATAAGTTAAATAAGTAGGGTGACAATATACAGCCTTGACATACTCCTTTCCTGGTTTGGAACCAGCCTGTTGTCCCATATCCAGTTCTAACTGTTGCTTCTTGACCTGCATACAGATTTTTCAAGAGGCAAGTCAGGTGGTCTGGTATTTCCATCTCTTTAAGAATTTTCCACAGTTTGTGGTGATCCACACGGTCAAAGGATTTGGCATAATCAATAAAACAGAAATAGATGTTTTTCTGGAACTCTCTTGCTTTTTTGATGATCCAGCAGATGTTGGCAATTTGATCTCTGGTTCCTCTGCCTTTTCTAAAACCAACTTGGACATCTGGAAGTTCACGCTTAATGTATTGTTTAAGCCTGGCTTGGAGAATTTTGAGCATTACTTTACTAGCATGTGAGATGAGTGCAATTGTGTAGTAGTTTGAGCATTCTTTGGCATTGCCCTTCTTTGAGATTGGAATGAAAACTGACCTTTTCCAGTCCTGTGGCCACTGCTGAGTTTTCCAAGTTTGCTGGCATATTGAGTGCAGTACTTTCACAGCATCATCTTTTAGGATTTGAAGTAGTTCAATTGGAATTCCATCACCTCCACTAGCTTTGTTCATAGCGATGCTTCCTAAGGCCTACTTGACTTTGCATTCCAGGATGTCTGGCTCTAGGTGAGTGATCACACCATCATGGTTATCTGGGTAATGAAGATCTTTTTTTGTATAGTTCTGTGTATTCTTGCCACCTCTTCTTAATATCTTCTGCTTCTGTTAGGTTCATGCCATTTTGTCATGACCAACCTAGATAGCATATTGAAAAGCAGAGACATTACTTTGTCAACAAAGGTCCGTCTAGTCAAGGCTATGGTTTTTCCAGTGGTCATGTATGGATGTGAGAATTGGACTATAAAGAAAGCTGAGTGCTGAAGAATTGATGTTTTTGAACTGTGGTGTTGGAGAAGACTCTTGAGAGTCCCTTGGACTGCAAGGATATCCAACCAGTCCATCGTAAAGAAGATCAGTCCTGGGTGTTCATTGGTAGGACTGATGTTGAAGCTGAAACTCCAGTACTTTGGCCACAGTCAGTGAAGAGCTCAGGTTGGATGCATGAGACAAGTGCTCAGGCCTGGTGCACTGGGAAGACCCAGAGGGATCGGGTGGAGAGGGAGGTGGGAGGGGGGATCGGGATGGGGAACACATGTAAATCCATGGCTGATTTATGTCAATGTATGACAAAAACCATTACAATATTGTAAAGTAATTAGCCTCCAACTAATAAAAATAAATGGAAGAAAAAAAAAAGACCCTGATGCTGGGAAAGGTTGAGGGCAGGAGGAGAAGGGGATGACAGAGGATGAGGTGGTTGGATGGCATCACCGACTCAATGGACATGGGTTTGGGTGGACTCCAGGAGTTGGTGATGGACAGGGAGACCTGGCGTGCTGCGGTTCATGGGGTTGCAGGGAGTCGGACACAACTGAGCGACTGAACTGAACTGTATTGATATGAGAATTGTATCATGAAGAAGGTTGAGCCTCTTGGACAGCTCCAACAGATGTCTAACCAGTCAATCCTAAAGGAAACAAGCCCTGAATATTTATGTGCAGGACTGATGCTGAAGTTCCAATACTTTGGTCACCTGATGTGAAGAGATGAATCACTGGAAAAGACCATGAGTTTGGGAAAGATTGAAGGGAAAAGAGAAGGGAGCAGCAGAGGATGAGATGGTTGACTCAATGAACATGAATTTGAGCCATCTCTGGGAGATCGTGGACGACAGAGGAGCCTGGCACGCTGTAGTCCATGGGGTAGCAAAGAGGTGGACACAAATTGGTGACTGAATAAAAACAACAAATATTTATTGGATTTGCTTCTAATTTTCACATAAGATCCATCAATCTTTCCCTTGTCACATCTTAATTCATATATAGGTAATTTTTACATAAGAAATTGGCTTCTTTAGTATTTGACATGGTTTTCATGTCAAGTAAGTGGGAAAATTATAATTTAAAATAATGGGGAAAATATATTACAAGATTGAAAATTGGTTAAATCTTCATTGAGAAATACATCTTTTATTTTTTATTTAATTTTAAATTAGTATATTACATTAATTTAGAATTTTGAAACTCTAAAAGAGTTGCAATAGCACATGGGCAAATCATGTGTAAGTTGAATATTTTATCTAAATGTGACTCTTACACTAACTGACCACTGAAGAACCAAAACAGAAGGTACAGTAAAAGTATTCTGAATACCATTTAGTTATCTAAGAACAGTCACAGGATGGAGAGCAGTTGAAGGAATAAAGATGTGCTTACTGTACACACAATAACAGAGGAAATGGCTAGATTAATACCAAAAGCTTTGGGAAAGTCATTAACCTGAGATAGAACATCTGTCTGTGAGCATGAGGACTGAGGGTAGCTGTATAGACTCTTAAGAGATGGAGCAGAATCCTTGATACATAGGCTTGAAATAGTTTTTGATGGCTTCTAACATTTGAATGAATAAACAGAATATTATTTCTCTGAGTCGTTCTTTGCTCAAGGCCAAAATTGTGATTGAGACTTATCGGATAAAACATCAATATCTATCTCCCTTAGAATCTCTTTTGTTACTCAAAACTTTCAAAGTGTTCTTCTCGGGTCGCAGGAGGATAATGTAGCACTCTGGGGCAAAGCTGCAACCTAGGAGCCCCGCACTGGAGGCCAGCATGGAGCGGATCTCTGCGGCCACCACGACCTTGCCCCCGATGCTGTGGCAGACAGGGAGGACGGTGACCCAGACGCTGCAGAACCCCAGCATGAAGGTCAGGAACTCGGCTTCACTGAAGGTGTCAGGCAGGTTCCCGGCCAGGAGAGCCAGGGAAAATGTTCCCAGGGCTAAGGAGCCCAGGTATCCCGGGACAGAGCAGAAGGCAGTGACTGAGCCCTTGTTGTACGCGATAATTTGGGCTCAGAATGAGTGTCCATCTCAAGGAAAGGGGGCGAGGTTCCCAGCCAGACTCCACAGAGAGTCACTTGGATCAGGGAGCACAAGGGAGTGAATGACATAGTTAGAAACTCCTGTTACCAGCAATTGCTGCACAGTTCTTCCCGGTTTCCTGGCCTTGAATGCCAGGATCACAGTCAGGGTTTTGGCCAAAACGGGGGCAACAGCCACAGTGAACACAGCTCCAAGTGTGATTTGTCGGAGGATGCAGGTGGCTGTGCTGGGACCACCAATGAAGAGTAAGGAGCAGAGGAAACCCAGGAGGAGGAGATGAGCAGGACATGGCTGAGAGCCCGGTTATTTGCCTTGACTATGGGGGTGTCTCAGTGCTTCACGAAGACCCACAAAACCACGGCTGTGATGGCAGATAAACAGAGAGCCGTGCAGGCCAGAGACATTGCCAGAGAATCCTCAAAGGCCAGGAAAGTCACAATTTGGGCATGGCAATGATTTCTTTCCCAGTTTGATACTCTTGGTCTGGGCACTGGACACACAGCTCTGCATCTGGGGAGAAATTAGACTCAGCATTTCTTTGTTTGTACCACATTTCAATATGTGGCAAACAGAGACATTTCCTGTCATTGTACATGCTAATCCCTTCTGATATAATATTTAGAAGTGTTGGAGAGGATGTAAAGTTCGAAAACTTTGTATGTTCTTGATAAGAATGAAGAATGGTATAGCTGCTGCAGAAATGTGTGACAGTTTCTCTAAAAATCAAACATAGAATTAGCCTCAGTGAGCAATTTTTATCTAGGTGTATTCTCTTCAAATCTGAAGCAATGATTTGATTAAATAATGTCTCTCCAGCATTACTTACAATAGGCAAAAAATGGAAACAACCCAAATGTCCGTTGACAGATAATTGGCTAAACAAAATGAGGTGCATGTATACAATGCAAGAGTACTCTGCCTTAAAAAGAAAGGAATTTATCTGACACAGGCTACAATGTGCATGAATTTTGGAATCTTATCCTTTTGAAAAAAAATCACACTCCAAAGGACAAATATGGTTTTATTTATGGATGGTCGTAAGGGCTAAGTGATTTCGGTCACGTCCGACTCTTTGAGACACTATGGTCCTTCAGTTGCCTCAGTCCATAGGATTCTTCAGGTAAGAATACAGGGGTGGGTTACCATTTCCTACTCCAGGGGATCTTCCCATCTCAGGGATCAAACTTGCATGTCTTATATCTCCTACATTGGCAGGAGGGTTCTTTACCACTAGCACCACCTGCGAAGCCCTTATTTATAGATGTATTAATGCTTAGAATAGGCAAATTCATAGACACAGAAAGTGGAATGAGGTTCACAGGGGAGTTGAGACTAAGAGGAAGTAAGTTTCATGTTAAAAGAGATGAAGTTAGGGGTGATCATTCTGCAGAGGGACAGTGGAGAAGATTGCACAGCAATAGAAATTTGTTAATGTCACTGAATTGTACTCATAAGGATAAAATGGTAAATTTTATATGGTGTATACTTAACTACAATAAAAGTGGAAAGATCAAAAAATAAATAAGTGCATGAATTGAGCAACGAGTCCCCCATAACCCCTTTCGCATAGCCCTCTGTTTCCTTCTCATCATGAAAGAGGTAAGGGGCAGGATGACCATGCTGTGCTCAGTCAGTCAGTCGTGTCCGACTCCTTGCAGCCCCATGGACTGTGCGTGGCCTGCCAGGCTCCTCTGTCCATGGGATTCTCCAGGCAACAATACTGGAGTGGGTTGCCATGCCCTCCTCCAGGGGATCTTCCCGACCCAGGGGTGGACCCAGGGGTGGACCCAGGGGTGAACCCTGGTGTCCCGCATCACAGGTGGATTCTTTGCCTTCTGAGCCACCAGGGAGACCCAGGAGTACCAGAGAGGGTAGCCTACCCCTTCTCCAGAGGATCTTCCCAATCCAGGAGTTGAATCATGGCCTCCTGCATTGCAGGTGGATTTTTTACCAGCTGAGCTACCAGGGAAGCCCTGGTAGGGTAACCATAGGTGATTATAGATTTTTTTACCTGTGTGGTTGGAAATGTCTCTCTCTGGACACAGAGCACAATAAAGCAGCAAATAGGCCTTCCTTCTTGTGAATTTTCCTGAACCCTGAAATACATCTCTGGCTACATGCAGATTTTGGTGTCTGAAAGGAAAAATAGACAATCTTTGGTCAAATTTGGTATATGATTAGCTGCTATCAGAGAATATCTATATTTCTCACAGAATAAAAACATTTCATCTTCTGTTACATCACCAGGTCTCCTCCCCAATCCCAGCCTTGCCATATTCTCTAGAAATCTAAGTATGAGATACTAAATGACATTTTCACATTCTTTACACTGAAATATTTACAAAGACAAACTAAATTTTACAGAAGTATTTCATGGCTTCTATATCATATATTCCTGACAATGAACCTTGTGTTTCTCTTGTTTAACCACATAATCCAAAAATCTTGTCAGTACAAATATCCATAGGGTCATGATACCGAAGTTTTATCTGCAAAAAATTATTTTACTATGCTCTCATATGTAAAATATGAGAGCATTTAATTTATGTAAAATATGAGAGCATAGTAAAATGTTCTGTATATATTTTACTATGAGCATATGTCTCATATGCTCTGTATGCAGGTCAAGAAGCAACAGTTAGGAGTGGACATGGAACAACAGACTTGTTTCAAATCAGGAAAGGAGTATGTCAAGGCTGTATATTGCCACCCTGCTTATTTAACTTATATGCAGAATGCATCATGCAAAATGCTGGGCCGGTATACACCATGGAATATTACTCAGCCATTAAAAAGAATTCAGTTGAATCAGTTCTAATGAGATGGATGAAACTGGAGCCCATTATACAGAGTGAAGTAAGCCAGAAAGATAAAGAACATTACAGCATACTAACACATATATATGGGATTTAGAAAGATGGTAATGATACCCTATATGCAAAACAGAAAAAGAAACACAAATGTACAGAACAGACTTTGGGACTCTGTGGGAGAAGGCGAGGTGGGATGTTCCTAGAGAACAGCATCGAAACATGTATATTATCTAGGGTGAAACAGATCACCAGCCCAGGTTGGATGCATGAGACAAGTGCTCGGGCCTGGTGCACTGGGAAGACCCAGAGGGAGTGGGTAGAGAGGGAGGTGGGAGGGGGGATCAGGATGAGGAATACATGTAAATCCATGGCTGATTCATGTCAGTGTATGACAAAACCCACTACAATATTGTAAAGTAATTAGCCTCCAACTAATAAAAATAAATGAAAAAAAAATGCTGGGCCGGTTAAAGCACAAGCTGGAATCAAGATTGCCAGGAGAAATATCAGATACCCAAACGGGGCCACCCTTATGGCAGAAAGTGAAGAACTAAAGAGCCTCTTAATGAAGACAAAAGAGAGTGAAATGGCTGGCTTAAAATTCAACATTCAGAAAACTAAGATCATGGCATCTGGTCCCATCACTTCATGCAAATAGATGGGGAAACAAAGGAAACAGTGAAAGACTATTTTCTTGGGTTCCAAAATTACTGCAGATAGTGACTGCAGCCATGAAATCAAAAGATTCTTGCTCCTTGGAAGAAAAGCTATGACCAACCTAGACAGCATATTAAAAAGCTAAGACATTACTTTGCTGACAAAGGTCTGTCTAGTCAAGGCTATGGTTTTTCCAGTAGTCATGTATGGATGTGAGAGTTGGACCATAAAGAAAGCTGAGTGCTGAAGAATTGATGCTTTTGAACTGTGGTGTTGGAGAAGACTCTTGAGAGTCCCATGGCCTGCAAGGAGATCCAACCAGTCCATCCTAAAGGAGATCAGTCCTAAATATTCATTGGAAGGACTGATGCTGAAGCTGAAACTCCAATACTTTGGCCACCTGATGGGAAGAACTGACTCATTGGACAAGACCCTGATGCTGGGAAAGATTGAAGGCGGGAGGAGAAGGGGACGACAGAGGATGAGATGGTTGGATGGCATCACTGACCCAATGGACATGAGTTTGAGTAAGCTCCGGGAGTTGGTGATGGACAGGGAAGCCTGGTGTCCTGCAGTCCATGGGGTCATAATGAGTCGGACAGGACTGAGCTACTGAACTGACTGACTGACTGATGCTCTCATGTTGGCTGCGTAGAGGATGAAGGTTTTAGGTAAAAGAACCTAACAACATCAAAGCAGACACACTATGAAAAGTGGCTTCATAAACAATTAATGAAGACACAAACCATGATAAAGTGTTATGAAATGCAGATTTTGATTAATGCAATTAATGGCTCCTAAACAGGGTGGCACAGACTTGTAAAACAGTTCAAAATATTTTCATGTGCAAAATGTTAAACAGTTGCACGAAGAATCACCTTAAAATTACCCTGGAGTTTTCAAATTGGGAAATTTTTTGGAAATAGTGGTCAATGCTTTGAGATACTAATTAGAATGAAGTTTGATGACTCAGTAATGTGCATATAACCAAGGGAATGTGTAAATGGAATCTTCTAAGAAATAGTTGACATAATCTATTTGTGTTTATCTAAAGATAAGAAGGAATCTCATCCATATGTAAATAAGGTCAGAGTGTTCAATATATCCATTAACATTATTTTTTGCATTCACTCAGCTGTAGCAAAAATAGATACACCCAAACTAAAAATATTCACCTATACAACTACTCCTTCTAGACATTGCCTCAGAAGGTATGTAAGATTCTACAATATGACTGAAGATGTTGAATCAAAGAGTAAATTTAGTGCTCAGGGAAATGTGTATACTCTTCATTTCATATGAAGAATCAGCTCTAATATCTTTAGTCTATATATCTAATCTTGAAACAATGTCATATCTCTTTGAATCCAATAGGCCATTCTACCATCTCATCATTGATCACCAAGCCTTGATCATATAGACCACTGAAGCCAAACTCTCCCACTTTAACCTGGGGCCAAAGACCAGCTGGAAAACTCACAGCGTTCAGGATATCATACTGCATCACATGGCTTCCTTTCTCATCTAACAATATGTGCTCCCTGGCACTGTTTCTAAACTGGAGCTTTCTTAGGAATGGGTGAAGCTAGGAAAGAAGAAACTTTAAAATAAATAGTGTATTCAAATTAAAGATGGAAGGCCCGTTCTTACAAAGGAACCATCTCTTTCCACCTCCCCAGCTTCAAGTTCTTGTTGGTAGTTGTGTGTGTGTGTTTACCATCTCCAGGACTCTAGTGACTTGGAATTTACCTCTCATTCTGAAAACAAAGAGAGAAGGAATTTAACTCAATGACACATTCAATGAATGTGTCAACACATTCATGACACAATCAAAGGCTGCTTCAGTCATGGGTTTTGGCGCATCCCAATCCCAGACAAATTTTTCTTCGGGTTTCTAGAAAGAAGAGTCTGTACTGTACATCAGTATAACATGGGATTTTTCCTCTTACCTTTTACCCCACAATATGATTGGTGAAAACAGAGGGGAAACTTTCCCTATGAAAGGAAACTAAAATTTACATCTTGTAGAGTGTTACTGAAACTGGATTTAGCCTTTAATCCTTGAAACCCAGAGCTTTTGACACTGTCTTGTAGGAGGTACTAAATCTATACTGTTTGCTTTAGATTTAGGTAAAATTTGCATAAGGTATAATTCACCATTTTAAGCAGTATAATTCAGTGAGTTTTAGTAAATTCACATATTGTGCAATCATCACCACTGTTTGATGTCAGAACAGTTTCCTCATCTGAAAGGAAATCCCACACGAATTAAGGAATCGCTCATTTCCCCTAAATCAGCATCTTAGAACATATAATTTACTTTTTGTTTATAGATAAACCTATTCTGCACATTTCATGCAAATGGAGTCTTTCACCACTGTCTGGCTTCTTTCACTTAGCATACTATTTTCTAAGTTTGTAAGTGTATCAGAAACTTATTTCTGTTAATGGGTGAATCTTACTCCACTGCATGCATTAGTCACATTTTGTCATTCATCAGTTGATTGACACTGAGGTTGTCTCCACTTTTGCTATTATGCACACTGATATGAATATTCATTATAAAATTTGAGTTAAACATTTGTGTCCCACTTGGGGGACTACATCTGTCGAAATGCAAGTGCAGTGTTATTAGAAAATACTATGCTTATTGTTGTTTAATTCATGCTTTTAAGTTTGAAATAATCCACACAAAACTTATTTTCTTTCATAAATATAACAGCAAATGTCTATTTTATTCCTAGATAGACCACAAAATACTTATTTTTATAAGCTCTCCAGGTATGCATTTAAATTTTGATGAGGTGGTAAATATAGTCATGTGGAAACACACAAGAAAATGTACAATTAAATTATAAATATTCATTACCACTGATTTTTCCTCAACCATTAAATAGATGTATTCAGTATGACTGCTCAAAAGCTTATGAAGATGTAGGCTCAAAAAAGGAGCATACATAGCAACTCCCAGATAGAATGTTTGAGCAATAATTCCTGAGGGGTGTCTCAGGCACCATTTCCATTAATTTATTTTTCCTATATGACACCTCTCTAATGGAAAAAAGTGAAGAGGAACTAAAGGACCTCTTGATGAAGGTGAAAGAGAGTGAAATAGCTGGCTTAAAACTCAGCGTTCAAAAAACTAAGATCATGGCATCTGGTCCCATCACTTCATGTCAAATGGATGAAGAAAAAATGGAAACAATGACAGACTTCATTTTCTTGGACTCCAAAATCACTGCAGATGGTGACTACAGCCGTAAAATTAAAAGATGTTTATCCTTGGGAGAAAAGTTATGACCGACCTAGACAACATATTAAAAAGCAGAGACATTACTTTGCCAACAAAGGTCCATCTGTTCAAAGCTATGGTTTTTCTAGTAATGTTCAGATGTGAGAGTTGGACCATAAAGAAGGTTGAGTGCCAAAGAATTGATGCTTTCTAATTGTGGTGTTGGAGAAGACTCTTGAGAGTCCCTTGGACAGCAAGGAGATCAAATCAGTCAATCCTAAAGGAAATCAACCCTGGATATTCATTGGAAGGACTGATGCTGAAGCTGAAGCACCAAGACTTTGGCCACCCAACACAAAGAGCTGGCTCTCTGGAAAAGACCCTGATGCTGGGAAAGATTGAAGGTGGGAGGAGAAGATGGTGACAGAGGATGAGATGGTTGGATGGCATCGTGGACTCAATGGACATAAGTTTGAGCAAACTCTGGGAGATAGTGAAGGAAATGGAAGCCTGGCATGCTGCAGTCCATGGGGTTGCAAAGAGTCGGACACAACTGAGTGACTGAACAACAGCAAGTATAAGCCATTCTTCCATGTTTCTTTGTATTTTTGATAAAAACTTGATATTCAGAGTATTTGTCCAAATTCTAATGGAAAAGCTACAGAAATCAGGTTCTCCCCACTACCCAGCAATTATAGTTACTGCTGATTGTAACACTTGTTGTTATTTTGCTTACGGTGTTGTCTGAGCCAATCTTGTATATTCCACATTCTTCTTCATATATAGTCACTGAAGTCTTTGTTCCAGTCGCCTAGTGGCCAGCTAGTGATGACGCATTGACTTATTTTTACATCAAAAACAAAGATAAAATAGAAAACCAAAGAACTATTTCTCTGTCTCTGTAGGTTCTGGATCTCTTGTGTTTTAGAGCAAACCATGAAAATTCTATCTGGCAGTTTACAGCTCTACCTTAGCCTTCACTTACACTTGATTGAGACCTGAACGTCAGTCAGAAGTGGGGCTCAGGGTGTTCGCAAGAGTTTCTTTCTGATTATGAACCAAGTGTCAGTTATTCGGGAGCTTTTCATTTTTATTTATTTATTTTTTTGTTTTGTTTTGTTTTTCGGGAGCTTTTTAAAGTCTTTATTATCCAAAGCATCTCTTTCCCCAGCCCATCCTCCAATGCTATAGAGGTTTTATATAGTGTTTCCCAACCGTAATCTCTGACCCCAGGTAAAGCTAATTCATTTACCTCTATATGTTCAACAAACACACTTCAGGTTACCACCTCAGCCCTAGGAAGTTTCAAAGATACAGGAAATAAAAGAAGTCTTATATTAGGCCATCAGAGAACCAGCAGGTAGGTCAAAACAAACAATTACACAATTTTTTTAGAATAAGTTTCATAGAACTCCTTCTGGTACCGGTAACCTATATGAAGAATGTGGGATATTATTTAATAGACCACTTTTGAGCAGGAAACTAACAAATGATACCAGTGTAAATTAAAATATCATAAAGGTTTATACCAAAATTGAGCTGTGTATTCTTACTCTTTATTAAGAATTCTGCCTGTTGGAAATTGTACTTTGGGTACCAAGATTGTGGCATGTTTCCTTTAAGTATATATTAAAAGCTATTAAAAGGATAGGTAATTTATTGGATCTGATTATTTCATTTTATCAACAACTTGAAAATGTGTATTTGTCTCTTGTGTATGAGGACAGAAATTTCTAAATACATTCTGAAATGGATTTGCAGATTCATAAAGGCCTGCCTTAAAATCCAATGAATTCACTGCTAAACTATGTAACTTATGTTAAGTTTATACACACCAGTGTTCTCACATTTTAAATTGTTTGCGGCTTTCATAGAAACAGTTATATCTAGTAATAATGCATTTTCCAGAGTCTGTAGAATATCAGGGAGCCTTCATTTCTCTTTGTCACAACAATCATTTCAAGGAATATTTGAGCCACAGCATATATACCAGCATAGATGAAAGTGTTGGATTCTGTTATGATAATTGTGTCAATACTTTGTGAAATTAACTACACTTTAAGGAAATGTATAGAATTTACAAGTTTATGGTTTTCACATGTTTTGTTAAGTCTCCTTTGGATATTTTACTATATTACATCCTAAATAAGGAATTTTTTCCAGCATGCATTCTAATACAAATAATTAGGAAGTAAAGACCCCTCCATGGTAGAATTCTTTAAACAGACCTAGTTGCTCAACAGTGTCAGACTTTTTGTGACCCCATGGACTGTAGCCCACCAGGCTCCTCTGTCCATGGGATTCTCCAGGCAAGAATACTGGAGTGGGTTGCCATTTCCTTCTCCAGAAATTACAGATACACATATAACCAGTGTGAAAGAACTCTGTGTCCAATTTGCTGAATCCTGTGGACTTGAGACAGAAATATGGTCATGATGTTTCATCTCAATAAAATACAACCAGATATCCTTTGCTTGTCCATTCATGACCTGCTTCTAAAGGACATTTACCTTCCAGGGAAGAAGCATGCATCTCCTGAAGATTCCATTTCTGCTTTCACCAAAAGCATTTCATGGAGGGTTTGGGCCACTACATACACAGCATTTTAGGTTAAATAAGTGTATTGAGACAACCTCGTCATATCATTAATTTCATGCATAAACTCTAAAGAAGAGTTGAGTTGGCAGTCTCCAATTTTTTCACAGTAAGCGAACATCCAAAAATTTGATGCCACACACTCCTGAAGTAAAAGTTTTCTGGGTATTGGGAAGGATTAACTGTCTTGAGAAAGTGTTTAAAACCTGGGATTTCCCTCTTCCAGTGTGAAAAGGAGAGACTTCCATAGAAAGAGTGTAGTACGTGGTAAGCCTCGTTCAAAAGAAAATCTCCCCTTGCTACCATAATCCATACCTTGCCCAAGGTTAAATAGTACACCGCTATTCTGTCCACAGAAATGAAGCATCCACATCATCATGTATTATATACACATTTGAAAATGAAATTATGGGTATGATCACTGAATGGAACTTACTTAATACATACAATTGCCTAGTGCTAGGAAGTTTTTTAGTAAAGGCCACATATACACCATTCTTTACCATCTCTGCTTTCAGGTCCAAGACAAACTGCTCCTTTTCCCCATCTTCAGACAAAAATAGTGCCACCCATGTCCAGTCAAAATTCAGCAACAGCCTAATCATTCCATGAACAAGATAGCTGTCCTCCATGGCCGTCTGATAAAGAGATGGAAACTGGTCTTTATCACTCAGTGAAGAATCAAAAGGACCATATGCCTCCTGAATAAGGAAAGAAAAACATGATTCTGAGTTTCGTGGGCTTGGAGCTATGTTTCTTGGGCAGAGAGTGAGCTGATTCTCTCTGTGACAGGGAGAAAAGAAAGATCTCGGTGGACATTTCACAGTTCTCATTTCATTCTGGGCATACAGAAGACTATGTTCTCTAGACTCCTCACTTTTAGAAAGGACACATGGTTTCTTCGGACAATTCTTATCACTAGGTTACAAAAAATAAAAGACAATGTTAAGATCTCTATGCACTTTTAATCTCCTTTGATGGTATTTGAAGAAAGCACAATTTTCAGATCGTGTACCCAGAAGACTGCATGTCTCCATCAAACTCGCCCTGTGTGTGAAGAAGAAATTCCTTCTACCTAGCAATCAGTGTTTCATGTAAACACTGAGAATAAATAAATCTTGTCTCATTAATGTCTTCATGATGGATTCAATGTATTACCACAGCATTACCTGTTATTCTGGTGACTACAATGTCCTATCCTCTCAGATTTTCTTGAAAAAAACATTCCAGAACAGAAATCTCCTATATTATGCTGTTGTGTTCATAAGTAATGTCTCTTGCTTGCCGCTGGTCAGATTGGTCCTTGGAAAGAGATTTGAGATGGAGAGACCCGTGTAGAAAATTTATGGCGGCATCCTCCATATATGCCAGTGGGATGTTGCAAGGCAGAAATGGGGAGAGAAAACTGACCTTCTGAACAACGAAACAGTTACAGCTGACTGTCAATCCTCTGGAAGTGGGATGATTCTTCAGTATTGTCAAAATTGAGAGGAGGGAACCAGGCTTCATATCACCATGTCTCCAATACACTGGCTTCTGGCTGTTACCTGTGAGCTTCCTGTCCTTGGGTGAGGGAGTTCCCTGTGTTTGAGGCATGTCCTAGGATGAAAAGAGCTGTGAGCCATCGTCACTCAATGTCCCCTTAACTGTGAGATTCATGCCTTGACCCTGAGCATGAACTTGGGTTTCAAAGTGCTGACTGCTCATGCCTGTCACTTTTTTCCTACTTCCCAACCAAAGGAATAACCTCACAATCTGAGGAAGTCTCTGGAATGTGCTTAAAACTCTGCCACGCATACACACATCTTCCACCTTGTCTTTTGATGGGATGAGAGGGAAAGGCAAACTACCGCACAATTGCACTCATCTCACACACTAGCAAAGTAATGCTTAAAATTCTCCAAGCCAGGCTTCAGCAATACGTGAACCGAGAACTTCCAGATGTTCAAGCTGGTTTTAGAAAAGGCAGAGGAAATTGCCAACATCCACTGGATCATCGTAAAAGCAAGAGAGTTCCAGAAAAACATCTATTTCTGCTTTTGACTATGCCAAAACCTTTGACTGTGTGGATCACAACAAACTGTGGAAATTCTGAAAGAGATGGGAATACCAGACCACTTGACTTTCCTCTTGAGAAATCTGTAGGCAGGTGAGGAAGCAACAGCTAGAACTGGACATGGACCAACAGACTGGTTCCAAATAAGAAAAGGAATATGTCAAGGCTATATATTGTCACCCTGCTTATTTAATTTATATGCAGAGTACACAATGAGAAACACTGGGCTGGAGGAAGCACAAGCTGAACTCAAGATTGCTGGGAGAAATATCAATAACTTCAGATATGCAGATGACACCACCCTTAAGGCAGAAAGTGAAGAAGAACTAAAGAGCCTTTGATGAGAGTGAAAGAGGAGAGTGGAAAAAGTTGGCTTAAAGCTCAACATTCAGAAAACTAAGATCACGGCATCCAGTCCCATCACTTCATGGCAAATAGATGGGGAAACAGTGGAAACAGTGGCTGACTTTATTTTTCTGGGCTCCAAAATCACTGCAGATGGTGATTGCAGCCATGAAATTAAAAGACATTCCTTGGAAGGAAAGTTATGACCAACCTAGATAGCATATTAAAAGCAGAGACATTACTTTGCTGACAAAGGTCCATCTAGTGAAGGCTATGGTTTTTCCAGTGGTCATGTGTGGATGTGAGAGTTGGACTGTGAAGAAAGCTGAGTGCCAAAGGATTGATGCTTTTGAACTGTGGTGTTGGAGAAGACTCTTGAGAGTCCCTTGGACTGCAAGGAGATCCAACCTGTCCATCCTAAAGGAGATCAGTCCTGGGTGTTCACTGGAAGGACTGATGTTGAAGCTGAAACTCCAATACTTTGGCCAACTGATGCGAAGAGCTGACTCATTGGAAGAGACCCTGATGCTGGGAAAGATTGAGGGCAGGAGGAGAAGGGGACGACAGAGGATGAGATGGTTGGGTGGCATCACCAACTCAATGGACATGAGTTTGGATAGACTCCAGGAGTTGGTGATGGAGAGGGAGGCCTGGCATGCTGAGATTCATGGGGTTGCAAAAAGTCGGACACGACTGACCGACTGAACTGAACTGAGGGAAAGGCATAGGGGAAGAGCACAGTGTCTCTCACCAGAAATCAGACTCTCTCACCTGTGGGATTTTGTACAGCTCCAGAAGTGGTTCAATCTCGGCTGAAAATGCTGACTTAGTTCCTGTAACTATGGTCAGAGATTTCCTCTGTCTCTGGTAGCTGTAGTTAGGGACAATCTGATTCCCTCCAGAGAGCCAAAGCAGGGCATTTTCCAGACTGCTGTGATCACTTTCAAAGGCATTGTAGAGATTATAGCCCAAGGTCAGGTTGGGGAGGAGGAGAGGGTCCTTGTTGATCTCCTCAATGGCAAAGATAAAAGCCAGAACATACTGATAATTCTTGAGGAAACACCTAAACAGAGGGGACAGCATCGGACAGAATGGTCATATAATACAGGGCTATATCCTAAGCCATCCAAGGGAAGAGAAGGGCTTTAAACTCAGGGTTTATATGCAGAGGCTTTCCTGTCTTGTCATACAGAGATGGTGTGAATAAGTTTCTGAGGGCTCTGAACATGCAAATAATATTATGAATAAATAAGCAAAAGACCAGCACCCCAGTAGAAGTATCATTACAGGTAAAGAGTATGAACAAGCACTGCTGCTGCTGCTGCTGCTGCTAATCGCTTCAGTCGTGTCCGACTCTGTGCGACCCCATAGACGGCAGCCCACCAGGCTCCCCCGTCCCTGGGATTCTCCAGGCAAGAACGCTGGAGTGGGTTGCCATTGAACAAGCACACTCTTTGACAAAACCATCAAAGGTATAAAAATACAGACAACGTTATTTAGACTCTAATTAGCCAAGAAATGCACATTAAAATGAGGGGCAGGTATTTCCTACCTTGAAGTGATGCAAAAAGTATCTCTAGTTCAACAAGAAAAAGGAAACCCTGCCCTCTGCTGGCTTCATTGTGAAATGCTAGTTTCCCAGCTGTGACTGCTGTCTGCACCGAGCAAAGGCTGTCTGAAAGCGCATGTCTTGATCCAACAATATACAATTACCAAAATCAGAGAAATGTTCCAAGCTTGTTAAGAAAAAATAATTGTCACTTATTTAATGTTACATTAAATTAATGCCAAAGGCTAAATAATATCCCGTATCTATATGAAACGACATTTCTAGACAGCAAATCACAATGTAAACGTATATTTCCTTATGTTAAATTATGTCCATGATAAATTTCTATGTATGGGAAATGGTTCACAAAAGAAGTTGATAGTGTATACCTACATGGCAACCCACAGAGTTTAAAATAACATTCCTGAATTTAGAAAGATGGTAACGATAACCCTATATGCAAGACAGAAAAAGAGACACAGATGTATAGAACAGACTTTTGGACTCTATGGGAGAAGGTGAGGGTGGGATGATCTGAGAGAACAGCATCGAAACATGTATATTATCAAGTGTGAAACAGATCACCAGCCCAGGTTGGATGCATGAGACAAGTGCTCAGGGCTGGTGCACTGGGAAGACCCAGAGGGATCGGGTGGAGAGGGAGGTGGAGGGGGGACCGGGATGGGGAACAATGTAAATCCATGGTTGATTCATGTCAATGTATGGCAAAATCCACTACAATATTGTAAAGTAATTAGCCTCCAACTAATAAAAATAATTGGGGGGAAAAAAATAACATTCCTGAGCTCCTCAGTTAAGTGATGCCTGCTGCTCCTCTGCCTAGAATAGAGATGTCCATATATTTCTCTGGCTGAAGGACAGGAGGGAGGGTACAAAGTTTAGCCTCCAACCTTGGGACATCACTAAAGACTCACCTCTCTCCTATGCTAGCCACCTAGACAAAACAGGTTCTGTCTTTCCCTACACAGTGCCTGAGACAGAGTTTCCTTCATTCCCGATAGTCACTTCCTGCCATCCTAACCCCAATAGAGGTCAAATAATTAGCAGCTTCCAGCAAACTAGAAAATGTACACACCTGAAATAATTTCCACCAAGCATTCCATTTAATATTTTGGTAAAATATGCAGAAGCGAACCATGGGGAGAAAAAACATGAAATGAGAAAGCAGAACAGGACAAAGATTGTCAAAAGTCCTCACACAGAAGAGTAAAAACGAAATTAAAGTTCTCCCCTCAAATTAGCAGCTCTCCAGTACCATAGCAGCTGCCAACAGAACTAGTGTTTTAAAAAATTCTAAATACAGCTAGTAAAAAACACGTTCTAAACACATCTTCTGCTCTGAGGACATGGGCATGTTGATAAATGTTGCAAAACCGTTAGAAATTCTATGAACCAACAAAGCATGAACAGAACACAGACTGCTTGATGCAAACCCCTAGTTAAGCACTGCTGTGCTAACTCAAAGACATGCATGCCACACAGTTAGGTAAAGTCCACATTTTGGGGCAAAATTCATCACCTTTCCCAGAGAAATTAATGATAAGGATAAAAATGAAGGGTTTCACTGTCTTCTGACATAGTATCTACTTTTCTATCTTTTGCTTCCAGAATATTAGGCTGTACACCCCACATTTGATGGGAGCAAATTGATAATATTAATATTTGGTGGGACTCCTTTTTTTAGGGTGGAGAATGCATGTCCCTTAGAGTCTTTCCACGGGGGCGCATTTCAGCACTATCTTTGTCAGCAGTGAACATTCAGGGTGAGCCACTTCGTCCCAAGAGTGGCCTTTGGCCAGGGGATCAGCGTCTCAAAGGGACTGTCTTTCTCAGTCAAGGACCTTGGTGGCAGGAGGGGCTGGGGCCCACAGGCTCATTAACTCTAGGATCCTCTGGAACAGAGCTTGTGTATCCTGCTGGTGGATACAACAGGAAAGATGCATAATTCTCTCCTCTGTCTTGGAGGGGCAAAAGTAGATATTAGAGAGGCAAAGAAGGGATAGAATATTCAGAATCCATCGATCTAAATGAGATGGATGAAACTGGAGCCTATTATACAGGGGGAAGTAAGTCAGAAAGAAAAACACCAATACAGGATATTATTAACGCTTATATTAACGTTTATATACGGAGAGTAGATACTATGTCAGCATCTGACCCCTGCTCTGCTCTCAGAGGGGAGAATGTGCCCTCATGTACAGCACGGCATATGCCTGCTACCACTCTGCCGCTCCGCCTGTGGGAGCCCTGCAGGGCTTGTGCCAGGCTGGCGCGCCAGACTAGGGCACAGTTAGAACCAGAAGGTTGTGTGCATGCGGGAGTCACAGTGCTGAGACCGCACTCTCAGTGTCGCTGTGACAGGAGCAGCGTGGCTTCCCCTCCTTTTCACTGTTTCAGATCAGTCCCGTGGGGACCTCTGGGGAGGCTCTTGTCCTGGGGCTCTGCACCTATTCCCTTCCATCCTGGTGAAAAACAATGAGGAGAAGCATGTTTTCCCCCTTGCCTCTTCGGTTTCACAGTAGTTAGTCAAACTTCAGCGCTTGGGGGCAGAAAGGGAGGTGTGGGGGGACAAGCCTATCATGGCATTGAGAAGTCTGTCCCCCGTGTCCGTGACTGACATCCCTGCCCAGAGCTCATGTGTCACCACTGCTCTGATAGACTCGGCAGGTTTCAAATCATCTTGGGACTCTTCAGCATGATGTCAAATGATGCTTTAGCACTTAGGCAAAAAATAAACATCAGTGATTGATAGTGGCATATGTAATCAAGATGTCAGTTTTTTAACTCAAAAAGTTATTTCAAATCTATCTTAGCAAGAACCTAACTTTACATCTTAAAGAATTAGGAAAAGTAGGAAAACTAGGCCTTCCATGTGGTGCTGTGTTAAAATATCTGCCTATGCAGGACACGCAAGAATCATGGGTCAGGAAGACCCCCTGGAGTAGGAAATGGCAACCCCCTCCAGTATTCTTGCTTGGAAAATGCCATGGACAGTGGAGCCTGGTGGGCTACAGTTCATGGGGTCCCAAAGAGTCAGACCCAACTGAGCAACCGAGTGCTCACACTCACAAAGGGAAAACTAAAATCTGTCAAACAGAATGAAACACTAGAGATTAGAGATAAATAATCCAGGAGAGAAAAACAATATTCAAAGCCATAAAAGTTGGTTCTTGGGAAAGACCAACAACATTGACAAAACTTTAATCACATTGACTGAGAAAGAACAGAGAAGACTCAAACTATTAAAATAATAAATGAGGAAATCCCTGATGGTTCACTGGCCAGGATTCAGTGCTCTCACTGTGGTGACCCAAGTTCAATCCTGGTTCAGAAAGTTAGATCCTGCAAGCTGTGTGGCCTGATCAAAAGATAAAATAAGAAATGAGTGTGTGGACATTACTCCTGAATAGACAGAAATCGAAATAATTGTATAAAAATAGTAAGTCCAGCTGCACAGGAACAGATTAGATAACCCATATGGTATGAATAATTCATGGAGATGCTCCCACCAAACTGAATCATGAAGAAATAGAAAATCTTAATAGACTAGTAAGAAGATTGAATCAGCAACCCAAAAAGTCCAACAAAGATCAACCCTGGACCATATGAATTCAATGTTGACTTCTACCAAACATAAAATATTAGTTAAGGATAATCATTTACAAATGCTTCCCAAAAATGAAGAAAAGGTAACACTTTCTAACTCATTCCATGAGGACTGTAGTATATCTTTTTACCAAAGGAAGACAAAGACATTACAAAAAAGAAACCTCAGATGAATATTTTCATGAAGGCCAATAAAAATATCTTCAGCAAAATACTACCAAGTAGAAAGAGTAGGAATACAAGGAAACTTTAATATGATACAGGCCATGAAAAACCCATAGGTGACATCTCACTCAATAAAGTCTGAAAATATTTTCCGTAAGACTGTGAGCAAGAGAAAGACATCGGCTTTTGCTGTTTCTAATCAAATAGGACAGGAATTCTTAGCCAGAGCAATCAGGCAAGAAAAAGAAATACCGAGGCATCCATATAGGGAAGGAAGAAATAAAGTTATCTCTGTTCAAACATGACATGAACTTGTACATAGAAATTCCTAAAGATTACACACACAAGTTAACATACCCACACAGAATACACAAACATACACACATTCACTTTCAGAGACAATAATCAGTGAATTTGGCAAAGTTGCAAGATACAAATCAGCATAAAAATCACTTGTGTTTCTGTACAACAACAACGAACAATACAAAGAGGAATAAAATTCTTGGGAATAAACATAGCCAATGAGGCAAAAGACTTGCACTCTGAAAATTACAAACCACTGCTAAAAAAAAATTAAAGGAGACATGATTAATGAAAAGACGTTCCATGTCATGGATTGGAAGACTGATTCTGCTAAATGACAATACTAACTAAAGTGACCTACAGGTTCCATTCAACCCTATCAAAATTCTGATGACCTTATTACAGAAAGTGAAACATTT